AAAGTTAACGCCTTTTCCGTCTTAATGAAGCACCGCAACGTAACCCCGGAACCGCGGCCCTAACTCTCGCAGCGTGAGGGGCAACGGCAAACCTGGGGCACGTTCCCGTCTCCTTCCTGGCAGTTTCGGGCGGAAGGCCCGTTCTCCGGGCGGGTGTCGGCAGCCCAGCTCGCGCCCCCCTCTCGGCGCCGCGCCCCGAGCGCCGCTTTTCACCTGCAGGAGGCACTTCACCGCTTCTCTGTGGCTCAGCGAGCCGCAGTGCCGCGCTTCCTGCGCTCCGGGGACGTTCCTGAGCAAACTCGGGGGCACCTGATCGCACGCAGGGCGACAGCGGACAGCAGACCTAACAGCCCCGCGGCGGTGGGGTGACGGCGGGCGCGGCGCGAAGCAGGGAGACGCGGCCCCCGCGGACGCGCTGCAGCGGGGACGTCAGCGCCGCACCCAGCGGGCGCACCACGTAAAACGCGCGGACGCTTTCTTCCGGAATTCTTTAGTATCTTTGGACTGTGGTTGACGCGGGTCACTGAATCCAGGAAAGCCAGACTGCCGATAAGGAGGGAACGGCGGTAACAGACTTTGGCCCAATACTCCATCCAAAGACAGCAAAATGCATTGGATTTTTCTGTTCTTCCCAAGCTCATATAAAAAATTCACAGACAGACCAGATTCTAGGCCAGAAACAAAACTTAACAATTTTGAAAGAATGTAAATCTACACACTGTGCCCCTGGACAACAAAGAACTTAAAGTAGCAGTCGGTTCCAGAAAGATAGCTCGGAAGTCCCACAAACATCTGGAGAATACCTTTCCATCTAACACAGGAGTCAAAGAAAAAGTCCGGAGAGAAATTTAAAAATATTTTGAATTAAATAAAAATGAAGTAGAACTTTTCAAAATTTGTGGGAAGCAGTGAAAGCAATGTTTAGAGAGAAATTCATGTAAAATGTGTTTATATGGCGATACATTCATATACTCATAAAGGAGATTAAAGTCGATGATCTAAGCTTCCGCTTAGGGAACTAGAAACAGTGGAGCAGTCAAAGCCCAAAGAACACAGGAAACAAAATCACAGAGGAAATCAGTGAGCTGGAAAACACACACACACAACAGAAAAAAGTTATCAAAACTAAACACTTCTTCTTTGAAATGATCAATAAACATCAGTGAACCTCCCACCAGACTAAGAAGTAGGGAAAATGCAAATGACCAATATCACAGATGAAAGAGGGGCATCTCTGTTGATTCCATGGACGTTAAGAAAAGGTTAAGAAGGGAACACTGTGAACAATTCTAAGCCCACAACCCTGATAACCTAGATGACTTGGATCGGTTCTTTGAAAGACACAACTGCTAAAACTCATGCGAGGAGAGACAGATACTCTGGAAATAGCCTATATTCTTTAGTAGTAAAGAAATGGAACCAATAATAATAACACTAGAAAAAAGCATCCAATCCAGAAAATGTCCTTGGGCATTCTATCACATATTTGGTGAAGAAGTAATTAATACCAGCCATCCACGATCTCGTCTAGAACACAGAGGCAGAGGCAACCCTTCCTAAGGCATTTTTTGATGCCAGCATTATCCTAATACCAAAAACAATTTTAAAAACATTACAGAAAAAGAAAATTAAGAGCAATATGTCTCATGAGCATTTATGCAATGATTTTCAAAAAATCATCAGCACATCAAGCCCGACAACGTCTAAAAGGGACTGTATATCGCATCAGATTGGGCTTATTTCAGGCAAGCAAGGATGATTTAACATTTTTAATTCAACCGATATAATCCACATATCAAAAGTCTGAAAAACAAAACAAGTATGGTCATATCAACTAAGGCAGAAGAAGCATTTGAAAGAACTCAATATACAACCATGATTAAAATTCACTGCAAACTAGGAACATAGGGGAACCTCTTCAACCTGACAAAGAACTTCTACAAAACACCCACAGCTAACGTCATACTTTATGGTGAGAAACTGGACTCTTTCCCACTGAGCCCAGGAACAAGAAAAAGGCATATTTTCTCACAATACCTGTTCAAATCATGCTGGAAGCCCAGGCTAGTGCAATACGACAATAACAAATAAATAAAAGTGACATAGACTTAGAGAAAGAAATAAAGCTATCTTTATGGCCATCTGGTAATGGATGTGTTAGACTTCATTAAAATAAAAACCTTTCGTTCCGCAAAATACACTTTTAAGAAAATTAAAAGGCAACCCACCCACAGAGACGGAGAAAATATCTTTAAAGCATATATTTGGTGTTGTATCCAATACTTACAGGGAGATACCTCCAATATACATAAAGAATGTGTCACGTTCAATAGTAAGAAAACAAATAACAGAATTTAAAACTGGACAAGTTTGTGAACAGACAGCACCAAAGAAAATACAAAGAGAGCAAATTTGCATCTGAAAAGATGCCCCACATCATTCATCTTAAAGAAATTGTAAATTAAAATGGAACGAGATACCACTACACACATGGTTCAGATCCACAAAACCGGTAACACCAACTGCTAGCTGGAGAAATGGGAAACCTCCTGTTACTACTGGTGGAAGTGCAACACTGTTGCTACACTGTTGACAGCATCTAAGAATGATGCAGGCCCTCTGACCAAGTCCCTGCACAAGTGGCTGAATAAAAGAAAAGTCACATGTGCAGACCACCTAGTGCCACACCTTCCTGGTTTCTCCCTGAATTCACAGCTCTGTGAGGCATTGACTAGGAATAAGGAACGAGGGGGCGGCAGCATGAGATTTTACAACCATCTACACCTCTGAACTTGAAGCAGCAAAACCCACAAAGGGACCAGCAAGACCTCACAGGCAGGGCCATTACCTTCCCGCTTTTGGGCTTCTGTAAAACGGCTTGCTTCTAGGAAAATGAAACTTACCCCCAAAAGTCCATTGGTTCCCAAAGACTCACTCCTGACTGGTCCATTTCTAACACCTCATTTGCATTTACCCCTAAAATTCCATTGGTTCCCAAAAGCTCACTCCAGACTGGTCCATTTCTAACACCTCGTTTGCATATGGCGCAAACTTAATCGAGACCTAAAACCCTATAAAAGCCTGTGTAAACCTACAGACAGGGTCCAGAGCTTGGAGCGCTAACTCCTCTGGGCCTGCAGGCGTAATAAACCTGAGTTCTCCAGCGCTGCGAGGGGTGCTTGGTCTCTCGGCGGGAATCAGCTTTCTGCAATAAGCTCGCGGTGCTGCCTTCCTTCCCTGTGAGTCTTACATGTTTGATCAACATCTCAGTCCCACTGAGGGGTAAATCCATCTGCTTAGGAAATTCACAGTGAAGACAAAAGCATTAATAACTGCTGGAAAGTGAAAGGCTGGAACTGAGTAAGAATACTAGTACCTACATTTCAGGAGAAGGTCAAACCTCTCAAAACAAACAAACCAACAAACCATTTACCGTGCAGAGCCACATGCAGTTTGCAGCACAAGTCTAAACCTCTTTTCCTTGGAAAGGAACACCATTGAGAAGTGGCACGACTTGCAGGGTCCAACCTCCCACCAGGCCGCTACATTTAATCAGAGCCCATCACGTCTGTGTGGGTCTGCTGCCCGCTCTGAAGGGCAGGTCCGGACACGACTCTGCCGAGCAGCGTGCGGTTTTGCAAAAAGATGCCCTTGCTTCTGCTCCCTGGACGATGAGCTTAAGATCACTTTGTTCTTCTGAAAAACTCCTAAAGTTAAAACATCTCTGCTTACAAAGCTGTGTTTGAAATTTGCATATGAATCTGCAGAGCAAAGTGCTCGCGCTGTGCTGGGCCCCCTTTGTCTGAAGCCTGCTCCGAACACTGCTTTTCTCTGTCCTGTTTGATGTCGACCTGCGATGTTCACCATGGAGTGGCAATGGGGGCCCCCTCGGGACTTTTGAGAAAGCAGATGAGTGATGCCTGGGGACAGGCCGTGACGGCTGCGCGGAGAGCCCTCACCAGCAGCGCTGCTCTGAGCCTGCACTTTTCAGACACTTGCGCTTGACCCTTTGAGGTTTGAAACATGTAAACATATCAGAAGAGTTTTCTCCAAGTCGCTGGCGGCAGAGGAGCAGCGCATCCACAACCAGATGAACCAGAGCCCGGAGGAGCACAGGCTTACAGTGCTTTCATGTAGTTTGACCCTTGAGCGCAAACCTTTAAACAGTTTTCCTCTCTCTCCCGTGTGAGCTGAGACAGGAATTCAGTGAAGGTTCTATGCATGTTATTTCATCAACCGTGAAAAACGTTTCGTGAAAGCCAGACCCTGTCCTGTTCCTTCCTGTCTCACTTTCCACGTCCTCCCTCGGCCCCGAGAGACGGTCCTCACCCTCCCAGCTACACACCCTCCTCCCCCGACAGTGCACTCACTGGGCTGGTTGTTAAAATACACATTCCTGGATCACCTAAACTGAGTGAATTAGGCCCCGGCTTCAGATCTACACATTTACCAACATCCAGGAAACACTGTGTCAACACTGATGGCCTTTCTGTCTAGTGCTACACCCGTGAGCCTTGGGATGGAGAGCCTCTGAGTGTTGTGTCTGCTTCTGTCTCCTGTCACAGACAGACACACACAGACACACAGACACATACAGACACACAGAGACACGGACACACACGGACACACAGACTGTATGTTGCCCCATGGCCTCTGCTACTGTATGAGGTTTTAGAAACATGCATTTTATTCCTTATCAGCTTTTAAACATTTGCCAAGGTTTAGAGATGTATATCACTTCGAGATATACTTAGTGGATACAGGCTGGTAGAAGTTCACAGAAAAGCTGGAAAACATAGCAAATGGCCCTCCTTAAGAATTTCTTTGAGTTATATTCTGTTCTGGGTGATACTCACTGATCTGTTGCTAATGCAAAGAAAGATCAAATAAAAGGTCATTTGAAAATCCGATAGCCCACTGGGCCAGGTCGTATCTTGCCCTCAGTTCTCGTCGGCCCGTGCGGAAAGTCACGATTTCAGCACCAAGCAAAGCAAACTTACCACTTCTTCATGTCGGCATTTTCTCACATTAATCCCATTTATCTGCAATGGAAAGACAGGCACGGCTTCACGTGGAATACTGTGAACTGACTGCACGTGTGGGCTGTACGTGAAAACTAGTGGTAAAACGTCTACCTGCAGAATGGCATCCCCGATAAACAGCAGTCCTGAGAGTTCCGCTGTGGATGGAGAAGGACAACAGATTATGCATGGTCATGCAAAGGGAGGAGTTTTAATTAAACAGAGTCAAAACTGATAAAGGGGAAAAGTGAAACGTCTTACATGGGGAGCGTCTTAAAAGATCCACAAGCCAGGGTCGTGCAAGAACAATCATGACTCATTTCCAATAGTGAACATATGCTGAGATATTTCCACGTAATGTTATTGTTTCAGATCTTAAAAAGAATGGCCTCTCCTCTGGATGGATGCCTAAATGCTCCCGTGTACTTGTAATTTTAAGGCTTCTATGCAAATGTTCAGATCTAGACATTCAGTCCATCAGCGATGGAACCAGCTCCAAGCTTCCTTCCAAGCACTAGGCTGTCCGAGGGATTTCAGCCACTGGAACAGCTGCTTTACATCTTTAGTGTTCTTCCTGGATGGAATCCCATAAGGGCTGAGGTACACTGCGTATGAGGACTGAAATGCCTACGTGTGTACCTATGTGTCAGGCATTGCCTGTATTTGATGTCTTGTAACCCTTAGGTTTGTTTGCGTTTGTTTAATGAAACCGCTGAGAAGGCATGTGGCCCCAGTTCCCACACAGCCACGCGCTCTGACCGCTTCATCCCCGCCCTCCTGTGGCAGACGGCCTCCCCTGGGCTGATGCAAGATGCAGACTCGACGAGCAGACCCAGCCACGGGGAACCAGGAGCTGGCCAGTCACACAGGACTTGCTGGCCCTTAACTACCATCTTTACTCTTCAGTGACAGTGACGTACAAAGGAACGGCTATGGTACAGTTTTCTTAACACTTTTACCTCTTTGCTCCTTGGAGATTTTTGAAATGACGACAGGAATATTATGTTCTGCTCCCCCCTGAAAAGAGAAAATAATATATTGTGCATTTAAGCTCAAAAAATAAAAATAGGAATTTGAGTTTGAAAACTCTATAGGCTATGAATAGTGTGTTAATGAACACCAAATCAAATTTAAATAAACCTGTGGAATTTCTCTACCAAGTAGACCGTGTTCCCGAGAGACATCTGTTTACAATTTCACTGTGCCATCCACTAAATTAATAACAGTTGACTTTGAAAATTTTTAATTTTCCAAATAACGATTGGTGATGACTTAAATAGGCATTTTCTTCAATGTGCACCAGGGCTTCCCACTGTAAAAATTCTTATTTAGGGCTCCAAACAGTAGATGATTATGTAGTTCCATTATCTGGCCAAGCTGTTCTATGCTGGTGACCAAGCTAGGACCCCTTTGGAGGCTAAGTGACTAGGAAGACCTTTACCTGCACAAACTGATACAATGAAATCAGAGAGTGCACGTGTCTGATGGGGAGGTTTCTTAACTAGTATATTTCTCCTTGTGCGAAAGCACACGCTAAACATTTAACAGAATAAAGTAAACTGGCAAGAATATCGCAGTCGTGCTTTATCTAACTGACCAAGTAAGACAGGGGGAAAAAAGAAAAAGAAAGGGGACGGCATAGCTCAGCGGGAGAGCGCGTGCTGAGCAGGCACGAGGTCCTGGCTTCGATCCTTCAAGCCCCAGCACCTCCACTGAAAAAATAATACATACATAAACCTTATTACCTTACCCCCCAAAACAATAAGCTAAACTTCTATAGAAGGAAATAAAATAAACCCCCGAACTACCTGTATGAAATCATGGCTTTATATTACAGAGGTGAGAAGGTTGAAAGTAATAGTGAAAAAATTGAATCAGTGCATTAGGAGTAAGACTTCACGCAGAACGTGAGCCCAGCACACTCAGGCGGGTGGGCGCGGCTTCCGCAGCTCCAGAGGGGAGCCTCCTAAGCCTTTCCTCTCCAAGGATCAAAGTGATTTTAGAACTTTCTTTCCCCCATGAATGTCCACTTTTAGTGACGAACTGTCAATATACTTAAATGTAAGATGGGCAATAGTTGTTGAGAAAAGCGTGGTTTTCAAGTTTTTCTTGGTAAGTCATCCTTTCTGCCTCCGGGATATTAAGGAGACGTGATAAATAAAACAGCAGAAACTGTCCGACCAGGGTAAGATCCAGACTGGCTCCTGGCTCCCCCTGTCCTCACCGTTTCCCACCACCCCGACATCCGCCCAGCCAGCCTCTAACTGTGCAGGGCATCTTTGGCACGTCGTTGGCCCTGATTCTGCTTTTGCCTTTTGGTCGGTGAGTTGCTGGCAAATCCTGACTCTGTCCAGGATAATCCCTCATCTGATCAGAGGACAGGGGTTTGTGATGGAGATTTAGGGAAATGAGTGCCTGCTTAGCACGGTAAATGCCAATCAAAAGTCAAGCCTCTTTATTTTACCTCTTAGGATTCCAAGTTCCCAACCCCCCGTGTTGCTTTTTCCCAATATTCTTATCAGCTTCTAGCCTACTGCTGTCTTTACTCATTTCCTACATTTATTGTTTGTTTTCTTTCTCCTTCCTCTGTCCTGAACTGGATGGTAAGTTCCACAAAGGCATTGGATTTTTTTGGCAATTTGTTTCATACATTGGTGTAATGCCAGTGCATAGAATCGTGATTCTTTTTTTAATCTTTGGAATTTTTGTTGAATGAATGAGTGACTAAATAAGTGAAGTCTAAAGCTTTTCCAGACCTAAAATTGTTCATCCTTTAAAAATACCTTGCAGAATGATTTTACATGGAAACTAAGAAGATGACCAATGAAATCAAATGCCATCATAACAGACAGTTTATAGGTAGAGATAGTTGGAAATTGGGGAAAATAGCTTAAGAATACATCTCCATTTCTTAGCAGAAAAAGCTGGTTACCTAAAGTAAACCATGCCCTGGTGGAGTTTTACGTGCTGTTAAAGAGGAAGGAACTCATCCAGACACCGTGGCTCAGGCGTCTGGGGGCAGAGTGGCGTGTTCACGTCCCCCCAGAGTGCTTCCTTCCAGCTGTTTTTGCTTTTCACAGTTTTCCCTCCTTGCACTAGTGAATTTAAACACTTTCTCAGTGCTCAGATTTTTCAAGCAAGTTGCCATGCCAGACAGTGGGGAGCCTCCCCCAGGGTCAGCCTGGGGAAAAGGCCGCTGAGACAGCGATTGCCTGAGGGTCACCACGGTTACTCCACCCCTCCCTCAGCACTGCAGACCTACAGCTGCCTTTTCATAATGAGACACAGCGAAGCCCTATCTTGTCAATGTTTTCTTTTGTACGTAAAATGGGAAATGAACATCACAGCGCCTTCATTTATTGAATAAAATGAGAGGACAGATCAGTTCAATTAAAGTTAATTTGATTTTATTCTGAACCTAAGTGGGGAAATTCTAGATTTTCCAGGCAGGAATCAAATAACGTGACTCCCTCTGTTTAGAACAGGTGGCAGGCTCCCCAGTCATGTGGACCGAAAGCCAAGGTCCTCAGCAGCCCGCGGGCCAGCCCCCCACTTCCTCCCGCGCCCCATCACTCTGGGCACTGACGGACGTCCGCGTGCGCCGCCCTCTGCCTGGAACACTTTTATCCTTTACTCTCAACCTGGTGTAAACTCTCCTCACGTTCAGGGCTTCAGCTGCAGGGCCCTGTCGTCTCGTTCCCCTACTTGCAGGGGCTCCTGCTGCAGCCGGGGTCACAGCCGCGGTTACGTTTCTCCCCTGGACACTGCTCAGCGCCCACTGTCCCTCCAGACTCTGAAGGGCCTGAGGCCAGGGCGCATTTCTCTACCATCGTCTCCTGACCTACCCTGGGTCTGGCTGCGAGGCACGGCCAGGGTTCAGAGAACTAACCAGTCACCGAGCTGTGCTGTCCCAGCGTGAATCACGGTGAGAGAAAGCGAGGCAACGTCCGGAAAGTGCCCCCCAGAGAGGGTTAAACACACGTGATTCCGTGTTGACAGAGGAGGAAAGTGGCGGGTAAGTGCGTCTTTGATAGCCAGCAACATACAGAAAGAAAAGCCCTTTCAAATTTAACCATAAATGGAAAAGAACACGTAAGTTTCATTGATGTGGTTAATTTTTTAAACTAAATCAGACGCTAAAACTTTGTCCTCTGTACTCGGCATTGTAACGTGATATTTTACTGACTTCTTAAATAAGAATAAAAAAAAACATCGCACAGAAGAACAAGCTGAGAAGGACACAGCTAACACTCAGCTTGCTCACAGACCTTTTTTTTCGCTACGAGGTGTGGTTCCCTCCAGTTCCTTCGCCTGACAGGTCGGTATCTCCCACCCTCACTGGTTAAAAGGTACAAACACTACAAGACCACATTTGATATATTAGATGAAACCAGATGAAGACAGTTCATGAGTTATCTTCCTTTCCAGCAAAGGCAAATTTCCCAAATGCTCTTCCAGTATCTCTCAGTCTAAGGTGGCCAGCGTTTCGAGAACTGACCTAATTTACGTCTCAGTCAAACTTTGAGGAGTTTGCTGCAGCCATTCTTAGCTCACGATCAATCAACACAGTTTAAAGGTACAGACACGCAGGCTTTTCAGCACAGCCCCTGGAAGGACAGACAGGAAGCGCGGGCTACCTTGATGCTTAGTCCGAATCCTCCCACAGTCTGTCTTCTGATGGTCACGGCTCTCTCCTGAAAGACAGAGTTCAGCAGCGGTCAGCGCTTCCTGGTACTGTACTTCCCCACCGCTTTCCTCCTCTCGGTCTTAGTGCTTTGCTCTTTAAAAAAGAACATTTTGTGACAGCACAGAGGCTCCAAACCATGGGACAAACAGAGGATGCTGCAATTGTTAAACTGAAGGCTAACAACGTGTCTGTCCAGCTGAAAGGGACGGCAGCAGCACTAAGCTGCGGAACTCTCAACCTGGCGGCCTTTCCGGGAGGTTTTGGACGCAGTTTGAAATCTTGACTTTAAAGTCTCTCCTCACTCTCACATTAATATTCCTGTTGTCTGAGAAATGACAAGCTGTGAGTTACAGAAAAACAGTTCACAGCCAGCGCTACGTATTGTCTTTGTCCACCAGGTCTGCTCTCCCTCCCTGCCCGGTCACGGGGCCTGTGGTCTGAGAGCTGGGCTGGGAGGTGCCACCTGTCAGCACATAAATCACCCACGTGGACACCTGGGACTGAAACGCTGAATAAACTGGGCTCACAGTGATTGCTTGTTTCAAAGAGTGGATTTTACAATTAACTGGTAATGACAGTACATTCTCAGTTTTCAAAAGCAGTTCTCTTTTGCCTTCCATACTGTAAATAACAATTCAATCATGCACATATGAAACTTAAAAAAAATCACAAAGAGCCACATTTGGACAAATCCCTTAGTTTTTGACAAAAAGTCAATATTACTGTTTTGGGGCAATCATGTCTTCGTAATGCTTGTCCTCCTGACGTGCTGAAGGGTTGGGAGCTTTCATCTACAACCTTCTCTACTTGTAACATGCCCGTCTTTTGAATCGCCCCCACCCACCCGCGATGGGGCAGACTCCACGCTCCCCCCAGGACCTGGCACAGACACTTGTTTTCTGGCCCCTGTGTCTCCACAGACGCCGTTTATTGGCTAAGTTATCCATTCCCTGCTTAATAGTCACCTGATGCATTTCACCTGTGGTAGTAAAAATATACATTTTAAACCAATTTATCATTTAAGGGTGATAATAAAACCATAGTTAACAACATTTATACTTCTTTATATAGATTTCTTCCTGAAGAAAGAAAAGTGACACTACACATTTAGATGTCTGTTGAATATTTATCTAATCATTTTCCAACAGTGATGTCACAGAGCAGCTCAAATACTGGAAGACTCAGAGGAAGAGATCAATGAAAAGGTCATCTTTATTCTGAAACAGACAGGCAAACCACTTTCACAGCACTGCCCATCAATTACAGTTCTTGGATGGCGGAGCTATTTTCGTAATTCCTTTTCTGTGAGGAATAAATACTCAATTCCTTAAAATAGTATCAGAACCAGTGGTGCCTTTAGCTCAGACAACCCCCATCAACTAACTGTCTCAAAACAAAGACTTCAATCTGTCAAAGCAAATGCGTCTTAAATAGCAAACGGCATCACCTAAATTTTCTAGAATATCCTGCACAGCAACCGTCAGCCACGCAGGCCGTTTGGCGAGTAGATCCCAGTGAGCATCAGCTTGCGAGCTGAGCCCCGGCTTCCCTGGAGGACAGCGGCGCCCAGGGCTCCTACCAGGGGTCTGTGCTGTGCCTTCACTCATTCTCTACAAGACCGCCTTCCGATCTTTGGTTTAGAACATGTTCCAAATCAAATATAAAATTGCTGATGCAGAGAGGTGTTTGGAGAGACCAAAGAGTCAGCAGAACCTGACTCTTTTATTTTAATGTTGTTTAAACATGGGTGTGCCCACACATGCTCTGGCAAAGCCAGCCAGCACCTCTTGATGCTCCCACTTCATTAGCTTACTTGTCAGAAAGGAAGGAGCGCTGGGCAAGACAAATTACTTCATGTTTTAAAGCCAGAATTTTAAGTTGGTCCCTGCAGGTAGCAGGAGGCATGGAAAGGCAAGTGACTGTTCTCTGATGGCACCTGTGGTGCCCGCCAGGGGTCTGTGTGCTTGTGAGAGCTGTGCCCTCTGGCCCACCCCACCTCTCACACCAGGTTCTCCCCCCACCCCAAAAATCAAAGGGGAAAAAGTGATGTTAATGAATTGTTTCATCAATCAGAGAGTGGGTGGAAGCTGATGGGGAGCCGCCTTTAGTCAACACAGCTTGAGTTTCACAAAGTTGCTGCCTAGCAACAGCACGCTGTCCCAGGGGAAACCGAGGTAGCATCGGTTACCTTATTTCTTAAAACACAGAATTGAGATAGGTGCTCCCATAGACTCATCTGCATAAAAAGCCTTTCTTTAATCTTCTTTTTCTTCACAAAATGAAAGGATGGAGCCCAAGAGGAGTTCTGGACTGTATAAAACCATGCCACGCACCTAAGTACCAGCATTCATGTTACGAGAAAGATTCAAGTGCTTCACTTGCTTTATATAAGAACACAATTATTACCACCCCTGTCCTCTGGATATTACATTTGACATCCTCTCTACCTCCAACGCATGGACTATATGGAACCAGTTCACACATGTGACCCAGCAAAACACATTGGTCTCATAAATCCCAGGAACAGAAGCTTTTGATACACGTAGTGAAAAGGGAGGAAGCTGTGAGATCAAGGCAGAGATGAGAGAGACGAGCAAACAGAGCTGTACTGATTCTGTGTGATGGGAAGAAAGCAGATATGCAGGAAAAGTGACAAGAAAAGTCATGAGCTCTTTCTGACGATTCAGGAAGGGAAACTTCAGAAAGGAATACCCATAGACGGTAGCTTCTAATTACCAAAAATCTGCTGCGTACACTTACACGTCTCCTAACACTCATGGTTGATTATTAAAATACACCGGGACCTCGACTGTTTTTCCCACTACAGCTTTCTGGGTCCTGAGCCTGTTTGTTCCCAGTTGTAGCCAAAGAATTTAGCACTGGGCCTACATCAAACTTAGGGACTCATGCACGCACTAAGGGAATAAGGGCTATCGTCCAAACATTTTCATTTCAAACACGTGATCATCACAACAGCCCACTGGCACAGGCAATGTTTTCCCGACATAGAATAAGAAACTAAAATGCATGTGAGTTAAATAACTTGACCAAGAGCCACATCATGACTGAAACGGAAGTTTCCCTGATTCCCACTGTTTTTTCTATCACATTAGCCTGAGCTGAGACAGAGAATTAAGATGAAGAAACGACGACTGTGAAAAATCGGTGCGTGATGTAACAGAAGGGGAAGGAATTGTAAGAAACAGTGTTCTCCTGGGAGACTGAGAACGGGGCAACGTGCCCCCTCCCACCACGGCTGCTCAACACTGTGCTCGAAGTCACAGCCAAGGCAACACAGCAATAATATGAAATAAAAGGCACACCGACTGGAGAGGAAGAAATAAAACTTTGTTCTTTGTCTACATAGAAAATCCCAGCAAAACCTCACGGAACTAGTCAGTAATTACAGCAAGCGTGGAGACACGGTGAACGCGCAGAATTCAGCCACCTTCCTATACCTCAGCTGTGAGAACTGGAATTGGAAATTAAAATCACAGTGCTATTTATGATGGCCACTAAAAAGGGGGTACTTTGGTATAAACCTAACAAGTAAAGGTTTCTATGTGGAGAACTATAGAATCCTGAGGAAAGAAGTCAAGGATGATCAAGATGTGCGTGCATGCAGGGCTGGGACAGGATGCGTCACCAGAAATGGGCGTGTTGCAGCCGACTCTGCGGCAATTAAAAAAAGACTTCCTGCTCACGGCAGAGAAGACTCAATGCTTTTAGGATATTGATTCTTACTTCCTTGGTCTATAGAATCAAGGCAGACCTAACAAAAATCCCGTGAGCTGTCTGAAGGCGTCCACAAGCTGACTCTTGGGTTTGTACAAAGAGCACAGGACCCATCGCAGACACAGCGCTGAGGGGGGACACAGCAGGAGGACTTGCTGAAGGAGCTACAGGAATCGAGACAGCACGGCTGTTTTGAACACTAAACACAGAGATCGATGGAAGACAACAGCGAGCCCAAAACAGAACCCAAACAAAGGGAACTGATTTTGTCAGAGGAAAAGGTGATTCAACAAGCAAAGAAGAAAACAGAAGGAAAGAAAGAAAGGAACTGAAATATGAATGTTACCCTTTCACAACGATTAGCACGAAATGAATCACAGACCCACCCATAATCCCAATATTGTATAAAACTTCTAGGAGAAAACCTACATGACTGGGTTCGGTGATGAGCTTTCGGGAAGGACATTTAAAACATCGTCCTTAAAAGAACAAGATTTGATGTCAGAAAATATTAAAACTAAAAACTTCTGCTTTGCAGAAGATCCTGTTAAGAGAATGAAAAGTCACAGGTGGGAAGAAAATGTTTGCAAAAGGCTGATCTGATGAAGACTTGTTTCCAAAATACGCAGAGAACTCAAAGCTCAGCAGGAAAATAATCTAATTAAAGATGCCAAAATATTTGAGCAAACATCTCATCAAAGAACACACAGACAGCGAGAAAGCACATGAAAAGAAACTCAACATGCTATGGTACTAGGGGGGTGCAGGATGATAATGAGCGAACATCACACACCTGTTAGATGGCCGAACCCTAAAACGCTGACCCCCAAATGCTGGGGATGTAGCTCACTAACACGGATTCTCACTCCTCGCTGGTGGGGATTCAGGAGAGAGTTTGGGGTCTCCAATGAAGCTAACACAGTCGGAACCTGTGGTGCCCCTGGACATTTATTCGATGAATTTTAAAACTTGTGTTTACATAAAACCTGCATGCAAATGTTTATAGCAGCTTTATTCATAACTGCTGAAAACTGAAGAGGTGACCGAGATGCTCTTCATTCACAGAAGGCACAATAAATAAAACAAATACATAAATAATAAATAAGAAGATGTGAGCTACCTAACTTCAGAAAGACATGGGCGGAAACCTCAGGTTTAAAGTATTAAGCAAAAGGACGTGCCCTCTGACCCCATCCATAAGACCTTCTGAAAAGGCAGAGCTAAGGAGACAGCGACATGAGGAGTGGTGGCCAGGAGTTCGGGGAGAGGGAG